CGTAATCTATAGAGATGCCTCATACAATGGTTTGGGTTGCGTCCTTATGCAAAATGGGAAGGTCATTGCTTATGCCTCCTGCTAACTAAAGACTCACGAAAGAAACTACCCAACTTATGATCTGGAATTGGCTGCGGTGGTCTTCGCTCTCAAAATTTGGCGTCATTATCTCTATGGTGCAACATGTGAGATTGACACAGATCACAAGAGTCTCAAATATCTGTTTACACAGAAAGAACTGAATATGAGACAACGACGATGGTTGGAATTTATGAAAGATTACGATGTGGAGATACATTACCACCCCGGCAAAGCTAACGTAGTAGCAGACACATTGAGTCAAAAGACAACCAAAAGTTTGGCTTGTACCCTCGTTCCTTGCAAGATCAATGGGCTGCTCGCCAACATAATCATGGAACCCGAGTTGATTGAAGAAATTAGAGTCCGCTAATGTGAAGATAAACTTTTGAAGAAAAAGTACGAGGAACAAGAAAGCACGCTCGATCCTGACTTCACGATAAGCAATGGGATGCTAAAGTTTCAGAATCGAATTTGCGTACCCGACCTTCCAGAACTTAAGAAAAAGATATTGGTAGAAGCTCATAGCTCGAGATTTGCGATCCACCCTGGCAATACGAAGATGTATCACGATTTGAAGAAACACTTCTGGTGGACAAGAATGAAAAAAGACATAGCAAGCCATGTCTCCAAATGCCTACGTTGTCAACAAGTTAAAGCAGAACATCAAAGACCTACAAGAATGTTATAACCACTCCCCATTCTTGAATGAAAATGGGAGCACATTACTATGGACTTCGTAGTCGGGTTATCGCAATCAGTCTCAAAGAATGATGCAATATGGGTTATCATAGACCGATTGACGGAGTCGGTGCATTTTCTACCAATCAGAATCATGTACTCCCTTTGTAAGTTTGCCACTTTATACATTAAGGAAATCATTCGTTTGCACGGCACCCCGATTTCAATCGTATCTTATAGAGACCCCCGCTTCATGTCTCACTTCTGGAATAAATTGCAAGAAGCTTTGGGGACCACTCTGAAGTTTAGCACGACTTATCACCCGCAAACTGATGGGCAATCTGAAAGGACGATCCAGGCTTTGGAAGATATGTTATGTTTGTGTGTACTAGACCTCAAAAGGTAATTGGGACAATCACCTATCTTTGGTAGAATTCGCTTATAATAACAGCTACCATGCAAGCATTGGAATGGCACCATACGAGGCACTATACGGAAGAAAATGTCGATTACCTCTGTGTTGGACTGAAGTCGGAGACAGGAAATTGTTAGGCCTCGAGATTGTACAAATAACGAGCGATAAAATTCAACTCATCCAGCAGCGAATTCGCACTGCCCAAAGTTACCAGAAAAGCTATGTAGATACACGGAGACGAGACTTAAAGTTTCAAATAAAGATTTCACCAACAAAAGGGGTTATCCGATTTGGAAAGCAAGGAAAGTTAAACCCATGTTACATTGGCCCATTCGAGATACTCGAAAGGATTGGTTCTGTGGCATACCACCTTGCGCTTCCACCCGAACTATCCTGTAACAACCCTCACTTTGTCTTAGTCATGCTCACATGCATTTGCATGATCTTTGTCTTGCTTAAACTTGCATTTTTGCGGACCTTGATTTGTTTTGTCCAAGTGTTACTTGCATGCTTTGTTTCTTGCTTGGTGTGTGTTAAGCCGAGGTCATCTTCAGCCTAGGTCACACCTTCGAACCTCTTACACCTAGGACCATCTTGGAACCCCTTTGGTTGACCCCCATCTTCGCCTTGGCATATTGGCCGAGATGTGTATCATCTAGGCCGAGATGTTATCATCTAGACATCCTGCATCCTTGATCCTTGCACCTAGCGATCTTGTTCCTGGACTGGTATGACCTAGATCGAGGTATAACACATCTAGGTCGAGGTGTGGCACAGTTTGGCCAAGTGTTATTATTCCTAGCCGAGATCATTGAGACCTTACTTGCCAAAGCCTATGTCTTGACCCGAGGTCCTTATCTTGTTGGAGTACCCTTGTCACCTTGCTTGTTATATACACTTTATCATGCTCTGGTCTTGTCAGTCAGTCACCTTTTTTAGGAGAACCAACCAGTCGTTGCCACATGCCCCAGCAGAGGGTTAAGTTAGCCGGTAGAGTGAGAAAACATATCATTTGTTATATTTTTGTCTCAGAAGGGAGAGAAGCTCTAGGAAGAAAAGAAGAAGAGTTCTTAGAGTGAGAATAGATTTCCAAGCTTGATCTTCGCACCTTGAACCATTAGATTCGTGTTGTGAGGTTAGATTCTTGATCTATTCTTGTTATTCATTATGTTCATATGATCGCATTGCATGATCTAGCATGATTCATGAGCCATGCATTGATTTAAAACTTGTTTTAGAAAGAGAAAATGATGTTCTTGTGTTCTTGAAATAAAACCATGTTTTGATCTAAAAGTTTGTATCAAGATCCATGTTTTTGTGTTTGTTTTCATAAGATCTTCAAGTATGGGTACCCAGGTCCATGTTTTCAAACTCATCTCATGAAATCTCAGATTTTGAATAAAGAAGTTATGATTTTAGCATTCATGTTCTTCAAAAAGAAACCCAGAATTTCTAGACTTCATCTCCCTGAATGTGGTCGTCGGGACCATACCTCGGCCAAGAGGTGTGGGACCTCAGCCAAGACCTGGTTGGTACCCAACATATTTTCCCGAGATGAGAAACGGTGTTTTAACTTCTAGCACATGTTTTGCTTTGTCTTGACTTAGTTTTGAAAGAAATGCAGAGATCATTTACACTCATGCAAAGCTTGTTTTAGGAATGCATTTCATATCCATCCTTGAACATCTCTTCTTGTCTTCTTGAAATGCATTCAATGGGATTTATTATGTACTTGTAGGCCTTGGATCCTTGCTCATAATCCCCACAACCGAAGAGCTATGTGAGTGGTATTTTTAATAAAGCTATGTTATAAAGTTTTGATAAAGCTTTGCTTTGTTTTGTTTTAGAAAAGTATTTGTTCAAGTATGAATGATTATCCCTAGTTTTGTATCAAGTATTATCTTGTTTTGATGACATTCTTGGAAAGTCCTTAGTGCTAGGGGACTATAATGCAACTAGTACCCTTGTTTGAGATATCTTTCTTGCCATGACGGCCTTATGCAGGTGGGTTTGTCTAATCGATTCTGGGTCGATTATTCCCTTGTTTTGTCAGGAATGTCATCCCTTGTATTATATTGATGCTAGTGAGCATCCCTTGAAGCTCTGAAAGACTTGATAGATGAACTTGATTCATCCCTTGATTTTGTACAAGCTATGATATGTATTGTTTTGATAAAGATCTCTGATATCATTCATTTAAACCTCTATTACTGATATCATTCACTGAGTATCCAAGCTCACCCTCCCCCTTATATATATGTAGGTGACGAGCAAGAAGGCGGCGACGCCTAGATGTGTTTTGCAAGATGTTTTGGATTCATGTTTTTGCTAGCATCTTGAAGATTATGCTTCTTGGTTTTGTATTACAAGTCTTTTGTATATGTCGGCTTGAGAAGCCTTTTGATCAAGATATAATATTTAGTTTTAATTCATTTGTATTCAAGTTGTAAAATCGTGTTATGTATGTCATTCCATTTGATCCATGCATAGCTCTTATGGATTATTTAGATTTAAATTTATTACTTCCGCACATGTAAGCCCCATATGTATACTCTGATTGTGTGTGACTTTGTAAGTTGGCCTCTGATAATCTCGGATTACTGGCCATCACGGCACCATTCTACTAGGGGCTTAATGGGGTCGTGACTTATCCAATGTCCACAATGTGTTTCACACTTCAATGCTTTGGCGATAGTTACTTATTTCAGTTTCTGCTACTTAATTAATTTGTTATTCAACTCAATTATGTTAATGTTTTAGCTTAAATAACTATCCATGGCTATTTTGTACCCCTATACTCACAGTATAATATTTCTCACTCTGCTATGTACGTATAGTTGTTACCCCTTTCAGGTGACGAGGTTTAGCAGGATCAAGATGGGAAATAAATTGCTGTGTTGTTTTTATTTTTTTTAAAGATTTCTTTTTTTTTTTCGGACTCTTGTAATACAATAAAGCCCAAATGACTATGTTTGTTTCCTTTTAATAAACATTTGGTACCTAATTGTATTATTTTAATTTACTTAATTTATCCGTTGCGCTACTACTACCGAAAATTTCAGAATTACTTTATTATCATCTTGTTGTGACACCGAACCTTTAGGTACTGGGTTTGGGTTGTGACATAGAGAGTGTGATATCATAGTCCAAAAGCATCAAGGTCATTCTGAAAGAATTCAGTATTATTATGGATGCTATGACCCACTACAATATCCATTGCTATTTCCTCTTGGTGAACTTGGATGGCACCAAGGAATAAAGAAAAAAACAAAAAAAGACAAAAACAAATTTTCAGATGGTCAATTTTCTGTGTTGGCAACAGAAGCTTCCAATGCTGATGATTTATTATCAGCAGAAGCTCAAGGTAAAAATAATAAAGAAAAAAGATTACCCTACTCATAACTTATAGCACAACAAGAACCCTAAACTATTTATTTTATTTATTTCAGTTTTTGAAGAGAATTTAAAGAAGAGAAACATGGTTTCAACTCGTGAGTTTTATTGTTTCAAGTTTCAATTTAGGGAGAGCCATAATTCAATTTTACTTCGAGCAGGTCGACTTCTACAACAATTTGTTGTTGACATGTATGTTAAGGTAGAAACTTCAGGGTTGGATTACTTTAGAGTAAATCAGAAAGAAATAAGAACAGTTTTGTACCAAGGAATTGTTGATAGTATCATAACAAGAGAATCTAAAGCTTCTACTATTGGTCGAAGAATTATTTTACCAAGCTCATTTATAGGTGGTCCAAGAGACCTTTGAAAGCGCTATATTGATGGCATGACTTTAGTGCAACAATTTGGAAAACTTGATATCTTTTTAACCATGACTTGCAATCCAAATTGGAGTGAAATCAAAGCAGAATTGTTACCAAATGAAAAGCCACAAAATAGACCTGATCTTCTTGTCCGAGTGTTTAAAAGCAAATTTGAACACTTGAAAAATGAAGTTATAAGAAAAAAACTATTTGGTCCAGTTACAACTTTCACATATGTAATCGAATTTCAGAAACGGGGCCTTCCTCATGTTCATTTACTTCTTATTCTTCAACGAGGTCACAAGCTAGATTCTCCAGAAAAATTTGATGATTTCATATCTGCTGAGCTGCCTAACAAAGAAAAGTTTTCACACTTGTACTCAATGGTTGTCAAAAACATGATGCATGATTCTTGTGGTTCTTTGAATTCTAATAATGTTTGTATGAAAAATGGCCTGTGTAAGAACCATTATCCTAGAGATTTTGTTTCAATGACAACCATAAAAGCTGATGGATACCTTAACTATAGGCAGCGCAACAATAATGAAATAGTTAAAGTTCGAGGGCACATGTTGAACAATAAATGGGTTGTTCCCTATAACCCATATCTTCTTGCAAAGTTTGATTGTCACATTAATGTGGAAATTTGCTCTACTATTAAGGCTGTCAACTACTTGTATAAATACATATAAAAGGGTCATGAAAAAATAGCATTCCACATAGTAGGCCAACACAATAATGAAGGTATTGATGACATCACAATGTTTCAATCTGCAAGATGGATATCTTCTCCAAAAGCAATGTGGAGAATATACAAGTTCCCTTTGAATCAAATTAATCCTGTTGTGATAAGCTTGCAACTACACCTTGAAGATTGCCAAATTGTTAGCTTTCGAAAGACAGATGACTTGCGCTCTTTAGCTAACGATGAATTTCTTTCAAGAACAATGTTGACTGAGTTTTTTGTGATGAATAGAACAAACAAAAAAGCTCAAGAAGGAAAATATTTATACAAGAAATTTCCTGAATTCTTTGTTTGGGATGCCCAACATAGAATGCGGAATGAAAGAAAGCAAAGAGAGGTGATTGGAAGGATAATCACTACAAATCCAAAAGAAGGCGAGCGATATTATTTGCGATTATTATTGAATCATGTACAGTGCCCAACTTCATTTCGTCAATTGAGAACTATTAAAGAAGTGACATACAACTCTTTCAGAGAAGCTGCTCTTCAATATGGTCTATTAGAGGATGATGAAAGTCATGAAAAGTGCTTAGAAGAAGCAAGTACTTTTCAAATGCCTTCTTCATTACGACAATTGTTCGCAACAATACTTGTGTATTGTAGTCCACATGATCCAAAAGCTTTATTCTTAAAATTTGAAAGAACAATGTCGGAGGATCTTTGTAGAGAAGGACAATTATCTACAGAACAAATTCGTTCTAGAGTTTGCAAAATATAAATTCTACTCTTGAGTCCATGGGCAAGAACATTGAACAATTTTATCTTTCAGATCTATCGATCCCTTCTGATGAAACTGATGATTGTTGCAAAGATATAGAAGATGAGTGCAATATATTAGTGTCTGAGGTTGATTTGATGTCTGTGTCATTGTTAAACACAAAACAACAACTTGCATATTCTAAAATTGTTAATGCAGTAATTTCTAGAAATCTAGGATATTTCTTTATTGATGGACCTAGTGGAATTAGGAAAACCTTTCTATATCGAGCAATCTTAGCTACAATAAGAATGCACAAATTGATCACTCTCATAACTGCAATTGCAACTTCAGGAGTTGCTGCATCATTTTTGTCTAATGGACGCATTGCACACTTATGGTTCAAAATTCCCATAGATGTTGAAAACAAAATTTGTTGTAATGTCAGCAAACAGAGTGGCCTAGCAAAACTTTTGAAACTTGCTGCACTTATAATATGGGATGAAACATCAATGGCAAGACGACAAAGTATTGAAGCACTTGATGAATTGTTAAAAGATGTCATGTATATCAATCTTCTATTTGGAGGAAAGGTTGCAGTATTCGGTGGTGACTTTCGTCAAGTGTTACTTGTTGTGCCAAAGAGCGCAAGAAATTAATGCAGTAATGCTACGCTTGTTATGTCTTACATTTGGCATTCATTAGAGAAGATCAAATTGACAGAAAATATGCGAGCTATGCATGATCCAGCATTTAGTAATTTTTTGCTTTCTGTAGGAAATGGTACAGAACAACAGATATCTCCTAAAACTATCAGAATCCTTAAAGTAATGCTTTTTTCGTACAATAAAAACATTAATCCACTTCAAAAGCTTATCACTTTTGTCTTCCCAAATTTCAATGATTATAATGAAGATCCACTTTCAATGATGAATCGAGCTATCTTGACTCCAAAAAATGACAATGTAGATCACATCAATGAAATATTGATGGAAGAATTCCTTGGAGATGAACACATATATAACAACATTGATGAGACTGCTGATACAAGTCAGCAGAGCCAATATGAAGATTTTCTGAACTCTTTATCTGCTCCAGGATTACCACCGCACAAATTGTTGCTTAAAGAAACTGCCCCACTGTTATGCTTCGCAACATAAATCCTTCCAAGGGATTATGTAATGGAACAAGACTCATTTGTCGCAAATTTGAAAAATATGTTATTCTCGCTCAAATTGCTGTTGGTGATCAAAAAGGAGATCTCATATTTTTACCTCGAATACTTTTGCAACCATCAGATAAAAAATTATGTCCAGTTGATATTACCAGATGTCAATTCCCAATTAGGCTATGTTTTGCAATGACAATTAATTAAGCTCAAGGTCAAACTCTAGATACTATTGGCATCTATTTACCACAACCAGTTTTCTCACATGGCCAATTGTATGTTGCATTATCTTGACACCAAACTCAAAGTTTTAACAGATGTATTAGATTCAAACAATGAATTCCCCGATGCCACAAAAAACATAGTCTACCATGAGATTCTATCTTTTGTTCAATGCAATTGATTTTTTTCTTTTGCGTGTTTTTTGGTATGTCCAATTCATATATTTGCAATTTCTACATTATATTTATGTTACTCATTTGACATTATTTTGCTTCTTATTTATTACTCCAACTATATATGTTTTATGCATGCAAGAAATCATGTGCAATCAATTGTTAGCTATCAAAGATATCGATATATCTACAAAATGATGGACATCAAACGTGATGGTTATTGAAAAATCATTTCCAAGAACTGGATCAACTGGAATATTATTTTAAAAGCTGATGTTAATTGATGCAAAGGTATGTTTGCAAAACATTTCTATTGCAAATATAAAAATATCAAATAGCTACTTTCCCTTTGGATTTTTCTATTCTTCTTTTGTATTTTTTTTTACCAACATATCACTTCTACTTCTTGCACTTCTACTCTTTTTTTTTTAACTTAATAAATAGTCTATATTTTATTTATTTATTCCAATTCAATTATGATTTAGAGTCTTTAATAACTACATATTAATTATTTCTTACTAACTCTAGAATTATATATTAATTATTAAACTCAAACATTGTAGGGATCAAAAGAACAAGCAACAATCTTTGGTGTAGACATAGAGGTTCTTCAAACAACACTTGAAATCTTTTCATCTTACGCAATATCAAATGCACAAGTCAGATCTATTCCAGAACAACATCAAATTGTTGAAAATGAATACCAATGGATAATTCATGGACGAACTCCCATAGAAAAAATAAAAAATGATCAATTAACTCTACGAAGTTTGAACTTCAACTTTACTACTCTAACTGCACTTGAAGACAATATTGATTCAACAACATCAGTGAATGTCCACTCAGAAACAACAGCAGATATGCAATCATCAACACGACCAAAAGATATAAGTAAAATTTATTTATATTCATTTTCTTCAATAATTTAATACATTAGAATACAATTTTATTGACAATTAAATTATATATATTTTTTTAATTTAGATGTCTTGCTAGTAACACTAGAGGTTGGACCAATACAGATGAAGAAAAATTTCAAAGACCACAAAGATGAGGAGACTCCATTGCAAGAAATTATTGTTATTGATGATCAGTAAGTTGTATCTTCTTCCAAATTTTTTCCTATCATTTTAACTTCAAATGTCTCCATTTGAAATCCATACTTATGTAGACAAATGCTAAATGTTTATGTATTCACCAAATAACTTGTTGTATCTAACAACTCCCTCTTTCCCAGATTGAAGCCGACAACTCTAACGCTTTGGGGTGAATTCACAAAGAATGAAGGTGTAGCTTTTTCGAAACTCCCAACTCCTTTCCCAATCATAATTGCCATGTGATTAAAGGTGACCTCATACAATGGTAATTTCTATATTCTTCAACATTTCTTACTTTCATAATTATTATACTACTACCAAACTCCTAACAATCAATTTTATAGGTGTCACACTATCAACAAAATCCACAACTTTTATATTGGACCCTCCAATTCTTGAAGCAAATTCACTAAAAGCTTGGTAATTACTACTATAATAAAATATTTTACAATATTGAACTCTTTATTTTTTGGTTAAATATAATATTCAGGTTTACTTATACTTAATTTACAATTATGATACTCAATTGCATCAGCCATAGCAATACCATCAAAGAAATTCCTCTTCAGAGAGTCCAACGAATCGCAACAACACAGTCTCCACCACCAACTCCATACAAGCTAATTCAACTCAAAAATCTTCCAACATTTGTTAGACAGGTATATTTCATATTATAACTCCATACAAGCTAATTCAACTCAAAAATCTTCCAACATTTGTTAGACAGGTATATTTCATATTATAGCAATTTCATCAAACTCATAACAATAGTAACAATTAGAAACCAATCAAATTGAATTCATTTTTTACCTTACAATAGCCCTAATTGTATTCAAGTTAGAAATTAAAATTCATGAAAAACAATAACAATACTCTAATAAAAATTCCTAATTTGAATACAATTTAAGAGTTCATTTTTTACCTTACGATGATAATTCCTAATTTAAAATCCATATTAATTACAATTTTCAATTTAACTTCCTAGACTACAAGATATTGGGTCAATGCTTGTGCCACTGCCACGAATGTAAACCAGAAATTCTGCTATGTATGCTACCCAAACTGCAACAAAAGCACCGTTGCAGAACCAGAAGACTTCTTTCTTTGCAACTTTTGCAAACAACAAGTGCAATCACAACCAAGGTAATAATTAACAATTATCTCTACGATAAAATCTATTCAATTTCATATTATTCAATCCATACTCATAATTTTCTCTAATTTCATATACACTATATTATGCTGAAGTTTAAAGGGTAGATAATGACCTAATAATGATTACTGAAGAGAAAAAAAAAAAAATCATGAGCGTCTAAAAAGGGTGACAATAGAGTAATTAGTTAACACCAAAAACACAGAAAACAAAAAAATTTGTTGACAAACAACTTAGAGTGCAAATATTATGTCATGACAAATAACTAAAAGAAATTTAGATTGTATTTGGATAATGGATTTGGAAAGAAAAAAAAATGTAAGGAAAATGGAGAAAAAAAATTAGCTTATATTCATTCACTTTTTCCCTTTCCCTCTACATATCCTTACTTAAATCCTAAATACAAACAATCTTAAAAGAACAGCTGAGAAACAATTTTAAACTAACACTCCTGGCAAAATATTACACGCAAAAAACACGGCTGGCAAAACACAACAAACAAAATCTCAAAAGTGGAGAACCTTTCAATATGACAAGAGATATAACATAGTAACTTGAAGTGAAATCTAACTAACCACAAGCCGCAAAGATGCTTATGAATCTATCTCCCCATTCACCAAAAGTTTATTATTATATTATTAAAGCTAAGGAAAAGAAGGGTATATAGACCATAGGAATTTGACCAGAACGTACAAGTACAATTCAGCCTCAGGCTTGGTTTCTTGCTCTTTTAGTTCAGTTCAAACTCCTATAGTCTATAACTACCCTAGAATTTCTTCTTAGAAAGTCAAAATACTCAATGCTAAACTGCATTAACTGTTTTCTAAAAGCAGATAAACTACTTACAAAAACCAAACAAAATTTACTGTGTCACTGATCTAGATCAAATGGTACCAGATCCTAGACAGATTAAACATAGCTGGAAGGAAATTCTAAGGATGAGTCCATCAGGTTAAGTCAATGGATTTATGAAGTACATTCGCAATGCCTTCTATCTTAAAAGAAAAATAAGGTAGTTTAGAAAATACCATGAAAATGACCATTTCCCTTAGCACCCTGTCGTGCCTGAGGAATTTACATCCCAAATCATACATCAATATAGAATCACACGTTTACTGAAAACTTAATTAACAACGACTCTGTGAATAGCAACCCACTTAGTTCGAGACAATTAGTTTGTTCACTTTCTTTGAGAAAGCACACTTTGTTCCTTTGCTTAGTGATAACTTTAGATGTTTCTTTGTTATTCGTGCTTTAATTTTTCTTCCGCAATAACAATAGATGTAGATTTGAAGTAGACTTAACTGATGAAAGTGGCAAAATCACAGCAACCATTTTTGGTTCTAATGCTAAAAAACTTTTTTCAATCACTATTGAGGAATTGATGAGGAACACATCAGATGTAAGTTCTACAACACTTGTAACACCCGCATCCTTTAATCCATTGGAGAGTGTATTTAATTTCGTTATTTTCATTCTTGGGAGTCTTTGGAGTTGTTGAATGTTGGTTTTGGAGGAGTATGATCCGATTTAAACTCGTTGGGTTTGTTTGTTTGCGCTTGTTCTTGTCAAAAAGTTGTTTGGGAACTTAGAAATTCTATTCTGGGGTCGACATCAGCCATCCTAAGGGTCGACCCTTATCTATTGGTGAAGTTTTTAGAAGTGTTGCTGGAATATAAGGTCGACACCAGCCTTGGTGGTGTCGACACCTGCCTCTTGTTACTGTCCACAAGGGTCGACACCAGTCTGGGAAGGGTCGACCCTTGTCAATTTAAGAGTTCATTTTTTACCTTACGATGATAATTCCTAATTTAAAATCCATATTAATTACAATTTTCAATTTAACTTCCTAGACTACAAGATATTGGGTCAATGCTTGTGCCACTGTCACTAATGTAAACCAGAAATTCTGCTATCTATGCTGCCCAAACTGCAACAAAAACATCGTTGCAGAACCAGAGGACTTCTTTTTTTGCAACTTTTGCAAACAACTATTGCAATTGCAACCAAGGTAATAATTAACAATTATCTCTACGATAAAATCTATTCAATTTCATATTATTCAATCCATACTCATAATTTTCTCTAATTTCATATACACTATATTATGCTGAAGTTTAAAGGGTAGATAATGACCTAAGAATGATTACTAAAAAAAAAAAAAAAAACCAAATCATGACCATCTGAAAAGCCTGACAATAGAGTAATTAGCTAACACCAAAAAAACAAAAAACAAAAAAACTGTTGACAAACAACTTAGAGTAATTTGTGGAAATATTCTGTATGACAAACAACTAAAAGAAATTAGATTGTATTTCCATAATGGATTTCCAAACAAAAAGAAAAA